AGATATGGCCTTAAATCTAAGAGAAAAAGCCACATCCCAAAAACGATACAAAAGGGCTTATTTTGGAAAAATAATACTGACTGCTAGGTGACCAAATCTTTTTTTTTTTTTACAAAAATGAACATATTTATCATATGTATGTATGTATGTATGTATATGTGTGTGTATGTATATGTATGTATGTATATGTGTGTGTGTATATATATATATATACACATATATACATACATACATATACATACACACACACACATATATATATATTATATATATATATATACACATATATACATACATACATATACATACACACACACACACACACACATATATATATATATCTCGCGGGTATTTGTATGTGGATCTTTGGTTATTCAGGTTTTCTCCCGCGTAAGATTGGAAGTATCTACGCAACGTTTCGATGAAGTCTCATTCATCATCTTCAGGCTTCTGTCTTCAGCTCTGTGCTTCTGAGAAGTCTGACTCACAGACGGACACAATACAGAAGCCTGATGATGGCAGATGAGATTCTGCTGAAACGTTGCTACAACTTTAAAAGCACAACTATAATGACGTAAGATATTTTGTGGGAAAAATATGTTCATGACAAGAAAAGTGGTCTTGGTTAATGTATATGAGAGGGGAGGAAGATGTATTGTGTGTGTCATGGAAGGACATCTAAGATGTGTCTTAGCAGATCTCAATACTGTAGATTGTTTTTTTCTAAAACATAAGCACAGCAAGTCCTGAAAAAGTCCTGTCTCAAGTCATCACCAAATAATTTTCAAAGATTGAAGTGATTCACACAAAGTTCCCTGGAAGAACAGAAGATTCACACACATTTACTTTTAACATGGTCCACATCCCTTAATCACACTGATCCTCCTCACAGTTTTACAGCAGGTTTGCTTAATAGAGGCACCTACTAGATTAGACATTGACCTGTTAGTTACCATTAGTCAGCAATTTAAAATGTGCAGCCTTTAAATAAGTTTTTTTTAAACCCTCCCCAAATGCCCACAATGTTTTCAGCTTGCTTATGAAGACCAATAACCCTACTTTTGTGTTTGCGTATGTTGCAACTACTTCCAAAATCCACAATCAAGGATCAGGGTTTCAAATGTTAGTTACTGTATAAACCTATGACATTATTCCCTGCCTCTGCATTTGCTCTCCATGGGACATTTTTGATCTTTGGCCAGCCTTAAGTAGTAGATGGTGAAAGGCCAATTGTTTCCTAAGTTGCTGCAATCTAATACACATTCACTAATACTGAGAGAAACAAAGCAGAAGGAAGTTTAGCTATTAAGCATCTCATTCAATTGTGAAGGTCAAGCGTAAATACCATTATATTACTGTGAACAGGTTTGCTAGAAAGAGTCTCAACTGCTCCTGGAACTAGTTCAACCCTCTTCCCAAAACCACTTAGAGAAAACCAATTCACATTCTTAACGCATCACTTTCTTTTACGGTTGATTTAGTTTTCAATATTGGTACTGGTTGAAAGTTGCTAGATAATTGGATAGAAATATTTTAGATTATTGATACTTATAAAATGCATTCAACCTCCATTCAGCACTGCTTATAGACAGTTTATAAAACAATATAAATTTGGTATACAAACAACAAGCAAGTACACATACTTTAGGCCTGTTATAGATAGATAACTCTTTAAACAAAATATTAGGATTATCTTGTTATTCAGATTTTTTGTAGTTGCCATTGGAGATTCATGGAAATTATAATCTGGAAGCTACAACAATATTTGGTTAAAAGAAGTGCTGGTAGCAATATTGTCATATTATGACTTTTTCACTTGGTATGCACTAAAATATAACAGTTGTACTGAAACAAAATACAGTTTGATTCTTAGTGTGTTACACAAACCTAGTCATTATTGCTTTAAACCATACTTCGTAGGGTAGTGGGTAAACCTAAGCATTGTGGCTTATTCAAGAAATGATGGCTTATTGTGATACAGTTAGCATTTGAGTAATTCAAGGAAAAGGAAGCCAACTTCTTATTTACCAATCTTATTGTACTGATCATATGGTTAAGTATGTGGAGAAGACAGATAAGACAGATAATAAATAAGACATAGTAAGTAATAATATATTAGATAGTGGCAGGTTTCATCTAAAAGTATGAAAAGCTTTTAAAAATTGCTTTAATGTACATTATACTGTAACCAACAGATTTTTGAAAATATATAGAAAGGCCAACAAAACTGATGTTGATTCTTTACATTAAAATCAATGCACATGCACAGAGAGACATACTTTGGTTATCACAAAATACAGATATTAGGGTAACAATTATAAAAATATTGAGGTTTCAAATTTTTCAAGATCATTTAATTAGACAAACAGAGAGTCTGGTGAGTTGTAAGGTTAATAACAAGATGATTTTTTTGCATATTCAGAATTTAAATAGATTATGGGAAGAGGCACAAACATTCACTTAAGGTTGCAACTGTTTCTACAATCTTCCTTACACCAACCTGTTTTTATAGGCAGAGTCTGACCTTGATTGCAGACATGGATATAATTTCCAATTAATCTAGACACAGTATGCTCCCAAATCATGCTATTGCATGATTAATTCCAATTCAATTTGGGGATGGGGGAACCAATACCCAAGTTCATATTATTCTGATTGTATTGAGATCTGCACTGCTACATAATTGGTGATAATTAATGTTCTAATAAGAAAAGATATAGAATAGACGAGATTCTTATTTTCCTCCCAGGCTGTCTACACATATTATTACAGCTGTATATGTGGATTCTTATTTCTCATTCTGATGATTGTAGACTTTAAAAATCCTGAGCATAGATGTGTAATGGGGGGAGAGGGAGGAGAGGGCGAAGAGAGAAAGAACAAACCATAGAGGACTTTAAACATAAGCATTGGTAATTTGATCTGTGTTCCAGAACAGAATGGTGACAATGGTTAATAGTTTACTTGAACCACATGAGCATAACTGCATATCAGTAATGGTTGTATGACTTTGATTCAGAGATACAACTTCATCCAGGACAATTGTGTTAGGAATCCAAAGCAATTACAATTATTTTGTTCATTGCATCCACCATTTATTTAATGTCACCTGATCTGGTTAAAGCAACAGCTTTGAGGTTACAGGCTGATCTCAGTTTGTAGCAACAGACTTGTTACAGTAGCATGCAATAGGTACTTTTCCACTGCAAAATATTCAGTTTTTTATACCACCTACTCACAGCAGAATAACCAAGCATCAGAATATTAGGTGCTCCTCTCTAGGTGTATCTTAAGTATCAGAAAGTTAGATCAGGATCTATGTAGTCTAACAGCCTGCCTTTCACAATGAACAGCCTGTCAATTACAGAAAATCACATATAGCTATACTGTTGAGAAATCCTGTTGTGTGAGCTTAACTCAAAAATTTTACTATAGCTATGAAAATTAACTATGCTAATTTTAGTATACAGTAAAAATATTTATACAGTGCCACTGCTCATAAAATTAAAAACAAAAAGCAATAATAAATTGCTTTTTGTGTTGATTATTGGTAGCAATAGAAAATAAAAATCAAATACAGTTTCAACAACTGTACACAATTCAATACACAACTGTTTCGACAAGCAAATGCTGGTTAATATTTAATCCTAAAAATGTGCACAGACCCATAGTTTTATAAAGGGTCCTCTTTTTTATTTATACATTATCTATTTTGTGCGGTTTGGGGATAGAGCTTCATTATAGCATGAAATTACATTGATGCTAACTGTATATGTAATCCATAAACATCATTGAAAACTCCAGGTGGGATAGAATAAACATTACTTTCTAAATGTGGATATGTCTTGTAATTTCTTTTTAGAAACTTTATCATGTATATTTTAAGAGCACTTGTTTTAATTTCTTGCTTAATAGAGAACACCTTCCCAACAGGTGCCCCCAGCTAGTTTTGCAGTTACAGATATATGGACTTTTGATACTATTTAAAAAAAATAACAACAGACCACACTGGAGGAGAATAGATTCTGTAGTTTTACAAAATGCTAGCTTTCCATTTTTTAATTCAAATATTTTTTTTAAAACAGTGTTTCTCAACTATGCTGGTTTACACATCTTCAGTTTGTCAAGGTTGAGAAAAACTGGCTTAGGACCACAAAAAGCTTGATCTGCAAGGATTGTAGCAAACAAAAGGAAGGTATCTTTGGGGAGACAGAGATACCTGGGGAACTTGGCCTTAGACAGGTACGTACTATGCAATGTATTATTTTGCGAACTACAAAAAATTCGCTAACATGGCCATGACTTGGTAATAGATGTACAGCAAGTCCCTGTGGCTTTCAACTACAATGTTGGATTATTGGTTTCTTTAGCTACTTCCCCTAATTTCCATTCCCAGGAACAAGTCACCATAATGTTTCTAATTGGATAAACCCGATTATCATTTTGGTTTATTCTAAATATTAGCAACTTACTTGATGAAAAAAGTAGTTCCCATTGAGGTGGTGTCCATTTCCCAGCCTTTGGGCATATCTGAAGAAACAATGATACCTATTAACACTAGAAATTTTTCTGTTCCAAGCAGTTACAAACAAAATTTTAGAAGCAAAATGTTTCAGAAACAAAAATTTTCTATGGGTTTCATAGAAAAATTTTTATTATGTTTTTACAATGTCTTTCTATTCATGTTAGTAGTCAAACTGGGCAACAAAATTTAAGGAGCAGAATCCCCAAACCATAATTTGCATACTAAAATGAGTGCAAAATGAATTATTATACAATAATAGCTCTTACATAGTAAGGGCTAAACTGCAAATTGTACAGGAAGTGATGAAAAATAAAAGTTAATCAGGGTCAGACCTGGCTTATATATGGATGTACAACCACCAGGAAATCCTAGGTGTGTGTGTGTGTGTGTGTGTGTGTGTGTGTGTGTGTGTTAAATCAGAGTCAGACATTGTTTATAAGAATGTACATGTAATCAACATAATGAGTTTGACATTATCTAAATACATCACAAACAATTCTAGGTAATATCCACAGTATGTAGAACATTAACAAAAGATGTATTATTCAGGCAAAAGGAATTAGATGGCAATATATATTGATCTTAATCATAAGGCCAAGAGCGCAAGGTTTTTTTGGCAAACAGTAATAATGCAGTTGCCATTCTAGTTTAATCTTAGTTGCTACCTGCAGATGTACATGGATTTGATTCCTTTTCCCCCCAATACACCAGGGTAGGTTTTCTTAAAATAAGAAATCAAGCCTTTTCTGTCCACCACTCTTTTTAAAAAATATTACCTTTCAAGGATCTCCCAGCCCTTGGGGCTTTTTGATCAAGTTCAATATCCCACCTTATTAGAGATGCCAGTCTAGTCAAATTCACAATCATTTATCATGTTGACAATGCCAATACATCCCCTAGCCTGATTTGTCCTCTGTATGTTATTGCCTGCCCCCCCCCTTACCTGTTGCCAAGAAGCATTTTATTTATCACCAAATGTAACCCACAAAGAAGAGAGAAAAGATTGCTCAGTGTGCATCATCTCAACTGCCCTGTCCAATCACAGAGGAAGGGACCACAGCTGCTCCATGAGGACTCTGATTATTAGGTTGTTTTTTTCCTAAAAAGAACACCTTTCGATTTTGAGATAAGAAAGAAGCAAAATCCATACAAGTTTATTCAAACCAAATAAAGTGGACAAAGGACTGTGCAAGCTTCAAAAAAAAATTCATCAGGATGAAAGAAGAATGAGGAAAGAAATCACATTTTCAAAAATCAGATCAAAATATTGTAGCTGTGATATCTGCAATTTAAGCTTAATATGGAGTTTACTGTGAAATAAGCAACCTTCTGGTTTTTCATATATTAAAATTTATCTTGCATTCTTGAGACAAAGACATTCTGGAAAATTTTTCTATTTCTGAAAATATGAAGGCTAGCTGTTCGCTGGTTTGAGAAGTTTATAAATGTAACTTGATAGATGAAACAATAAAATAACGTTAACATGTTTTTTTGAAAGTAGTAAGGGTAACTATCATCTCTGCACTTTAAATGTAATCTACAGGCAAAATTTGGATTTTGCAATATCTGTCTTCCACTCCACCCCAATTTTCACACAAATTGCCAACTGACATCCCAAATGGTAAACGGAGCTTGCTTGAATCAGGTTAATCTATCTCACCTGCAAAAATTTGGGGCTACAATCAAAAGCAAACCTGGAGATCCATGAGTAAATCCTGGTAGGTAAGTGAGAGATCCTTGATGAAAGAGGCCTTCCTAACAACTCTGACTTCTTAATTATAAACCTGATTTTCTGCTATGTGGAATGTTGCCTCTCAGGAAATTGCACCTGAAATGAGTTCATCTTCATATTTTCCCCTCCCAACACATATACAGCTTGACTTTCAGAATTACACAGGAAATCCCTATTTTTTTCTTAGTTTATTTTGCATTTTTGGATAGCAAACTGGTTCTATGTCAACCCTTCAAAACAAGAAGCACCAAGCATGAGTACTAAGACTACTTTATTGGAAGGTTACAGTAACAGTATTTGGCAATTATGCAACCACCTCTCCCCTCTCTTTTGTTCTACTGAAAACTAGAGAAGGTCCTTTCTGAGATGCTTTCTATACTTGCCATCCCTTCTTCAGACACTATCTAAGCTGCAGGTCTTCCTTGTGTCTCCAAAGGTCATTCCCACTACCATTATAGTCCATATGTGATGGCACTACAAATTCCAAAATGCTCAAGGTATTTCTGGAAGATGCCAATGCAATAGGGACGGTTAATCAAAAGAAACATTCAATTAACATCTTGATTAAAATACGAACAGATGTTCATGCCATTCCAAAGTATAGATAGCTGAGTCTGAAGAGTATAGATAGAAGCTTCAGTGAGGCTTGATCCTATACTCTTTCTTATCATGCATACTGTACACTTATGGGAGTAGTTGAAGCTGAATTCACTGGCATACTTGTTTCTGAAGGGAGATGCTCTGAAATATACTGGTCTGAATTAGGTTTTAGAAGTCTTTCTTCAATTTTTTCCTCTTAACTTTGTGTCTTTACAAGCTGCCGCATGAATAAACAAATACGTTTATTCTGGGAATAAACTTCAAATACTCAATGTTGAGCTCTCTGTCTACATTTCTGAGCACAGAAGATATTTAAAATGAACATGTACCGCATGTTACTTATAGTTTTTCATATGGGATTGTAGCCATCAGGGATTTGGGAACTGGAGTGAATTTCTTCAAATTTCCACTCAAATTTACTGGATGATCTAGAACCAAATGTTCTAAATCACTGAATGATGAATCTAATGCCATTCTTATGAAACCAAGAAAGAACATAGTTGGAGTTCCTTAAAAGATAGTAGTTACACAAGGAGAAAGGAGGCCAGATGGTAACATGAAAGCACATTATCTTTCTCAATTTATATTTACAGAAACTATCTTTCCTTCAGCAGGGTGGTAAAACTGAATGCAGAATTCATCTTCACATTCATACTTGCAAGTTGTGCACTCAGAATCGTCGTAGAGACTAGAAATATTTATTTGGAATCAGCTTTGAGTCATATCTATCTGCTCTGATAACTTGAACTCAGTATACTCAGTTTGAGACACCGAAGATGATTTTAAAATGTTTGTCATTGTCAAAGGTCATGGAAACATTTGTTTCCATTTGTGAATGGAATGTGTATTTTAAACATGCTATCTAGGTTTCCTTAGTACATTCAATGTTAAAAAACCCAAAGTTGTTATTGCCCAATACATTTCTGAAAAAATTGAACAATCTTGTAAACAAACTTTTAGTATAGACTTGTATCCTAAAATCCCAAACATATCTTTCTCCTACCATGCTGCTACTAAATCAAGCTCTAGATGGATGGTACAGTTGCACTCCCACCTTTTCAAAGCATCTTTTTGCCTTCAAATCTGAAATGCTGATTTGAAATTATTGTGTAGCCTGCTATAACCCCATATTCTTACAAATGTAGTATAAAGTGTCTGCCAAAGTTCAAAGTGTGAGATACTGTCCAACATTGTGATACTCTGGAATAATAAATTGCAATATCCTGCTGCTCAGACTAAAAAGTGTGCTTAATCAAAATTTTATATAAAAGGGATAACAGGGAAATGATTTTTGGTTACTCTTCTTCATACTGTGATTCTAATAGTCTCTTTTGCTAGTCTGTGTTCACACTTTTTTTGTTACAATGTTCTGGTGTTATATTGTTAAATATTTAACTCGCATCTACAAGATTCTAGGTTTAGTATTCATCTGAGATGTGGCAATTGCAATCCCCCAGGTCAACTCCTTGACTAGAATGCAGATTGCAGGAGTTGATTACCTGGGACAAAATGGACATGCATTCAAATGGCCAATCATCAAGATGACTTCTCTGCAAAATATAACTTCATAATTTAAATATGGCTTCAAATACCACCATGAAAGAAATCCTGCTTGGTTCTATAAACCTCATACAAGTATCCTCAACTTATAACAGTTCATTTGGTGACCATTTGATTACAATGGAACTGAAAAAGTGACTTATGACCATTTTTCACACTTACAACCGTTGTAGTATCACCATGGTCATGTCAAAATTCAGATGCTTGACCTATATTTATGATGTGTCCTGGGATCATATGATCTCCTTCTTGCAATCTTCTGAAAAGCAAAGTCAACGGGGAAGCCAGATTCACTTAACCAGGTTATTAACTTAACTGCAGTGATTTACTTAACTGTAGCAAGAAAGGTTGTAAAATAAGGCAAAATTCACTCAACTGTCTCATATAGCAACATCAGTTTTGGGCTCAATTGTGGTCCTAGGTCGAGGAGTACCTGCATGTATTCTTCTTTAGTTTGTAGATCATAGTATAAATGTTGGAGCACTAGAGTTACTTTTGTCCTAGTCCAATTTCAAAAGCTTTGTTCTAGTAATCACTTCAGACTTCTGAACAAAAGAAATATATTTTGTTGGTGGCTTGTGATGAGGAAGAAAGGAAAAGTAATAAGAAAAATATGGAGTGGGGGAAAAAAGGATATCAGAAACAGACAGAATAGATGGCCTTGCCCATTACTTGGTGTTCTTCACTATTCACTGATAACTGATGAGGACTGCCAGAGATAATATTTGCAGGAGGATGACCATCAACAGAGAAAAAAAGTATAGATCCCTGTCACGTAGCATTACAACCTAGCATCCATCAAAATAATATTGATCAATCCAGCCTAACATTCACACATGAATATTTTCAATGCTGTTATGCACACAAAATACGCACACAGCATATTTTGAATGCTGTTCTCATTCAGAGAATTAGCCAACAGCAGCTTTTCTCAAACTGGAGCTTCCCCTTAGTCATCCATGGCTGGGGAAATGGAATCTGAAGAGCAACGCATCTGTATGACACCAGAGTGAAACAAGTCAAGAGATGTTTTATTATGAACAGCAAGTGAGGAAAACTGTGCAAACACAGATGTCCGGTATTATTATAATGAATGCATGGTAACAAAAGGCTAGTTTTTTCTTACCTGGCCAGGAAAAGTGCCCACTCTGGATAGAATAGCCACTGCCTGGATGTGTCCAGCAAGTAGATTTTGTTTCATCACTATAAGCAAGTCCAAACAAAGTATTTAAAATGTATGGAACATCATTTTCAATTTCAAAGATCAACAACAATTGTCCACCACCTTATCACAGTATGCTTATCGCTAAGTGTGATACCAGAACAAAGGTTATACCAACTATATATCATAATTCCTTTTTAAATCTTGCTACTTTTCCCAAAAACTTACATTACAGACATGTACTTTTATCAACAGGGAAAGATACACACACACACAAACACACACAGAGAACTCATTTTCCAAATTGCATCTTTATGTAGCAAAAACAGCATTATCTATACACAAGGATTCTCAAAGTTTGAAGAGCTGCCAACAGTATATTTAAGGGGGAGAAAAACACCCAACCAATGATAGCTGAGCAATCTCTTAGGGAACAGAAAATTGGAAGAGAGAGTCAACTAGAGAATTTGGGAGAGTGGGGAAGGAAGACATAACTGACAAAATTAGAAACTAGAAGACTTTATCCTAGCAACCTTTTTGGTAAGAATTTGTAATTTTGTCATTATTCAATACTTTAAAATGCTTGTGATATTTTGCATATTTTTAGTGATGTAAGGAAGTTAACATGGTTATTTATCTGACCTGTATATCTCTCCCATCACTCAAGACTCTGGGTGGCTTATATAACCTATTCAGAGATTTGTGTGTATAAATCTGATCAACAGAATAGGATATATACTGGTGTACTACAAGAGGGAACAGTATTGAAATGCAAAGTTTAATAGCCCTTGAAAATTCAGCAGGGTTGGAGCCCTCTAAGTCTAATGTGAGGAATAGAAACTGAAGGGGAAAAATGATAAAGCCATTTCATGAGTCAGAAACAAGATTTGAAATGGCAATTTCCTGATTCACAACTGAGCTTCTTAGATTACATTCCTATAGCCAATCAGGGACAAAGCCCCATGGAAATTAGTGGAATTTACTTCTCAACCATGTGTAGGATAGCATTGTTTATGGCTATTTGACACTAGCTTGGTATATAACACAGCAGGTTCAGCAAACCAAATAAGGAACTTTTCAGAACTAATCTAACACCACTTCAAAAAATGGGGTGGGGTTGCTTAGAAATACTAAAAAGGCAGGGTAGAAAAACAGAGAACCAGTATCAGATTAAAATTTGATTTCAGATTATATCAACAGAAACAAAATCTTTTAGATTGCCTCTCTAAAGACACATACAAACAAATTCATTAAATTTAGTTGTAAATAAGTTGTATATAAAAAATTCCATGCTTCACCATAGATTTAAAACTGGTTCTGTTTTGGAAAGAGATCCTGATTTTTCAGATAATATTTCTACATTTATTATCTCATTACCAGCAACCTAAAAGCATAGGGACTGAAAGAAAGGTATGAAAGTTTGTTGAGTTATATCCAGCTCATCCTTACAGCCAAAAACAGCAACAAAGCACAAACCAAACCTACTTGATAAAGAAGATTCTCCCATCCCTGCAAACCCCATAGGTCCACTTGCCAGGCAGATCAAGCCATTCAATGTCCTCCTCAGTGGCCATCAGTCCCTTCCACTGCAAATGCCATCAAAAAAAGAGGGGGAGGGACAGGCTATCTCTCTCAACTGATCTTCACCCGCCTCTCATCCCTTCCTGCTTTAAGCAGAATGGGAGCACGGAGTTAAAACGAAACCCACTTGAGCCAGTCCTACCAGAATGCAGGTAGGTCAGCCTTTCCTCAGAAACTGTTTCACTGCAAATAGCCCAGGAGGAAGAGAAAAAAAAAATCCACAGCACCTGATTAACCCTTTTGAGGCCTAGTGGCTGATCTTTCATTTAAAAGCTGGCAGACAGAATCCCTTCCGGCTGCTAAAGAAAAGAAAAAAATCTGCAGGAGACTCCAATTTACTTCCTCTGCTGCCTACCATTCAGTCTAATTGCCATAACTTAACTGGGGGAGAAGGCAGGCAGTTTTGTCTGGATTTCTTTCTCCTTATTAACTGCATCCCGGTGTCTACATTTCTCACCTTGAGGAAAGGAGGTATTTTACTTTCATGCTCACTCTAGTCCTTAATTACAGCTTATTCACTAGGAAAGGTGGGGTTTAAGGCTTATTCCTCTACGCAGAGGGTCATAAAGGCTTGTTCGTCATCAATTATAGCTTTTCATGATCCTTGGTGAAGGGAAAAGGGTCAAAAGAAAGCTTGTCATATTTAATTCAGCAAAAGCAGTCTGTGTCCTACAAAGCAAAGATGAGCAAGCCAGATTTCAGTTCCCTTTAATTAAGAATCCCCCCCCAAAATCCTCAGATATTCCATTTTAATTGAACAACTATTGCCTATTGAAGTTATGTCCAATGAGATACATGAGATGCAGAATGAGATGAAGAATTGGGTTTTAATTTGAACCTAATAACAAGGTCAAAGCTGAAGCATTATCAACTGCTCCAGACATTGTTGTGGAAATAATTTGATTACTAGCTGAATTCATTAATTAAGCAGGAAATGAAGTACCATAAACAGAACAACATTAAATGAAGGATGCTTCATTAAATAGAGTACTGCTAATAAAATGTAAAAACTGCAATGATAGTGTTGAGCTTTATTTTAAATGCCAAGTAACTGATTGCTAAATAAAATTGCTATACTTTCAGGTAATCTAGTTTACATAGAGAAAAATAACTTTTTAATAGTGGAAAAAGTATTGGGCACGCAGAAGATACAGCAAGAAGAAAATTAAGTGAGAAATATCTGGAAGCTGGTCCCACCCTGGCTAGACTGGTCTGTAACTTCCCCCGAATGTCTGCGATACAGCCATTTGGAAGGGTGGCCTTTATTTCGCACAATGAGAATGGAGAATGTCCTTCCATTCTCCACCATTCTCTCAGAACTGAAGAAGCTTTTTGAATGAGAAGCGAAATGTCTTCAAGAAAAAACAAAGAAAGTCCAGTTGCTTTTGGAAAAGCACTTTTGGGATATTCCCTGATGAAACAGATAAACCACCAAGTTAAGGACATCTTAAACTATAACTGACAAATTTTAGCTTCCGGGAGAGCTTGGAAATTTTAAGCATTTGGAAGCATGTTTTTGGACTCAGGTTAGTAAAGGGTAAAAACATTTTGAGTACCTTAATGATATATCCTGCATTTACATGTTTATTACTTATGAAATTTGACAGCCAGAAACCAAATTCTAGGCAGCATATCAACTTTACACAATAAAAATAGTGTAAAGCCACAATGCAATTAATGCCTAGAAGAGCCTTGTTTTCACCCGCTTCTGGAAGCCCATAAGGGTGGAACTATTCCACTGCAATGAGGAAGCAACAGAGAAAATGACTGCCATTGTCCTTTTCACACTGCATCCTTGGTAGTTGGGAACACTTAGCATACACTCCCTAGTTGTCTAGGTAAACCAGGCAGAAAGTATTGGGAAAAGGCAGGCCCCTACGAACTAAGGTCCAAAACCATAGTGAACAGGACCTGGAATTACTCTCAAAAATATACTAGTAATCAGCACAGCTAATTTAGCAATACCTGTCAGGGTTCCAAGTAATACACCCATAGCAAACAAAGCTCTGAGGCAGGTAGATTCCTTAAAGAATATTTTTATTGGCTTATCATATTGGCACAGTTCTGGTGAAAACCAACTCTGAAGGTTCCTGCTGTTTTCACCTAATTAAAAGTTTTTCCCCTTCCCCAAACAATGTCATATGGTCCAATCAAGGTACCATCCAGTTGTCTGGTAATGTTACTCCTCTTCCTCTCCCCCCCCCCACCAGGTGTGAGAATGTCTAGTTCCCAGGAGAAAGTATTGTTTTGGCTATTGCCCTCCCTATCCCTCAGCTCCTGTGTGGCAACAATGAAGCTTCAAAATTCAGGTCAGCTTCAGGGTTGACAGTACCACTCTAGAATGCAGGGTTAATTTTTTAGATTTTTAAAAAAGAAATCAATGCAGGCTTATGGTGTTTCCATGAAATGATAAATCAAAAATAGAAACTGCTATTAAGATTCTAACACATTCCTGCCCATTATCAAAAGGCATCAATTGCAGTGTCATTCTTTGATGAAGGATCAGGTCAGTTCTTGTAGAAAGATGGACAGAATGGTTAAATTCGCTTGCTCTTTTACTCACCTTGTCTGGAGTATTGGGGCTGAGGGAGAATCCCAACCACTAGCTATCTTCCCCTTCACTGCAAAGTACCAAAGTTGCTAAAGCTGTTGATAACACAACATTTCAAAATATGACAGTACTGCTGAATTTATGGCTTTTCAGCTGTTGTTGGACTTGGAGGCCAGCAACATCCAATCCTTCCCTGGAAGGCAACAACCTCTCAGAAAATTTTTTGTCGGGTTATACTGATCTTTTTCTCTCATGCAGAAATATTTGCCATTCTTAAACATTATTCTTGGAATCTAAAACTGAAGTGTTACCAAACTCATTTTTTAAAAAAGCAAACCTTATTGGTTGTGCACACTTTCTGCAATTTTTGTACCATTTTGATTTTATAATCAGTTGAACTAAAAAAATATTAGTTTCATTCAGAAATGTCAGAAATATAGTAATGCATTTATTTAGAAGGGAATGCAAATTGAATTGGCAGATGAACACCCAGCATTCAGAGGAGTGATCTACTTTCCCATATTATTGCTGTTAACCTTACACAATCACTTTATTGTACATTTAAACAGCTTTAATTAAATTTTCCCTAAATCACACTCATTCAGAATTTGCATTCCTGTTGGGATGTGGCTTACCCTCCCCCTTGTTTCTTCCATATTCCTCTTATCTCCCACAGAAAAAGCAAGATTCTAATTTTACCCTAAGGATTGAACTTTTTGCAATTAGAAAGCCAACTGTACATTAACAAAATGTAAAAGACCCATGTGAAAAATAGGGATGTTCAAGCCTCTGGAAGTAATTTAACTGTATTAAACTGTATTAAACTGAAACATTATCTGAAAATGTTTTGCTATGTTGTATTATTTGGGGGGCGGACCAGATGATAAAACAGTGGTAT